TGGGAATGTTTACAGTACGATGGATATAAAATTCACTGTTTCTCATTTCTCTGTTTACTAGTCAGTTTGAGAACTTACTATTCTTATTAGCTAATCATTGCTTCCCTCTGTAAACTACATTTTTATTAAAGTTTTCTCATTTTAAAAATGACTTTCCTGTGTTTTACTTGTTGATTTGAAGTCTCTTGAAATCTCTGACATGAGCTTATAAGCTTTAAGATGTCATTTAATGACTAGAAATCTTTCATTTTAAAATAGTTACAGTTGTCATTTCTTAGCCTAGTTCTTTTAAAAATTATTTTTGGTCATGTGTAGCAGAACAAGTCTTATTATTTTCTTTTATTGGTTTTATGTTGTTGCCCTTTCACCCTCTGACCTGTCTGGAGTCCGACTTTTCACATGCTGTGATGTAGACATTTATTTCTTTCCATGTAATGGTCTGTGTTAAGGAGTCTGGCTGTCTCCATTACAGAAGCAGGGCATCTTTACTCATACATCACTTGCCAATTTTTATAGAAAGAATGCTCCTGGAAGAATGTAGATCTAGAGTGATAAAAGTCAAGAGATGCTTTTATCCAGCCTTCTGAAACCACACATAAATAGGAAACATTAAGCACAGCTAGTGGTTTTAAATGAAGTTTTGGATGAAATATGGAGAAAGAGTCTTAGAATGTCTATCAGATGGAATAGATTCCTGCAATGTCTTCTCCGTTTAATAGCATAATAATGTTTCTATGTAATATTATGTAAATAAAATATTTTATATGTCTACCTCTGCAATAGATGTTTAGGATGTTAGTACACCTATTCTCCACAAAACTTTTCCAGTTTTCCAAAAGCTTTATGAAATTCCTGGAATGATTCAGCACACTTGACAGGATACAGCATTTAACTAGTAAAAGGTTTTGTAAGCAAGGAGAACGATCTAAGCAAAAATGGGTCTGATTTACAGACCAATTCAGTATTCTATACATAAAAAGACCTCAGGAAAAAATGCCCTTGGCTGTCTGGCTGAAAGCCCACACATTTACTAGGTTCAATTTACATGTGGAAGAAATCATATGTCATGAAACTCATGATCTTTTTTTGCCTATTTGTTGGGAGGAAAAAACAGCAAGGCTTCAAGAACTGTTACACTGTGTAAAAATAGTTAAAGGTGGGTGCTGAGTCCACGGAGTCCTTCTCAGTGCCATGCAGCACTGTGGGTGGGGAACTTGAACGCACGTTTCTTCTCTTCCTTTGTACTTGGTAAAACATAATTTGGAATTTCATTATTCTCTTACATTGCCCAATGATGTTAACCAAAAAATATAAAATTCAACTGAGCAAGCTAGCGTTTCTTTAGAAAACTGAAGTGTGGCAGTGTTCTGAGAATCCTAACTAAAAGTCTACCATTGCCTGGTGCCAGTACTCAGACTTCTTATCGCCAGTGCCCGTGAATGCACCTGAATTTAGTAGCAGAAGATAAAATTCCATCCATTTAACAGCATTTAAGCAACGTGTGCTGTACAGAGATTCCTTGAAAGTGTTGTCATCAGATTTGATGTGGTTAATCTACAAGTCTACAAGCAGTTAATGGTCTTTCTTTGTGTTTTTGTCTTGATGAAAGGTTGTAATATTATTATCCACCATTACAGAACAAAAAGAATTTATATAGCTGATATGCTATGTTGTCAAAATCCATGTTCCATGACATTTGGTAAGTTTTTAATCATGTTCTGTTTTGGAACAAAAGGATATCACTGACACATCCTAGTGGAACAGAGAAGGTCGCGGTCCACCACAGAGGAAACATGCTGTTGTAAATGAGGTACACGAGCCTTCTGCCCCAGTCAGATCTCCACAGCATACGGACTCTTCCAAAGAGAGTTAAGTAACAGACAATAACCCCAAGTTATGGTGAAATCACAACCACAGGCCAATTCGGGAAGGAGATACAAAGAATGCACCTGTTACAGGACATACACACGGCATATGGTGCACACAAAGAACATGAAACATGAATTTTCACAGAATAACATCAGCTTTGTGAGTCGTAAAATATGAACCATGGTTCTTTTTGTTCTCTGGCAGGGAACTGCACCAAGATCAAAGCACAAAGGAAAACTAGGAACTCCATCTCGTAGGTCTGCAAATTCACGACCCTGAAGTCTGGCTGAGGCTATAGAGCTGTGGTAAAATGTCAAACATGCTCTCAGGAAAACACAGGTATGAAGCAAGAAGTGAGCTGCAGAACCGTGCAGGTGGAAAGGTTGGTGTTTTTCTCCATAAAATGTTTCACAAACTTTTTTGTTTTCCTACTGAACTTTTGCTGAAACCTGGTTATTATGATCCTTGACGTTGTATTACTATGCTAACTTCTGCAATCCATGCCAGTAACACTGGAGACTCTGTTTTCATATTCTAGAGAAAAACTCTAAAAGTAGCATCTTATGTGGGAAACCCTCGTAAGGTCCAAATGTCCTAACTACATGTAATTTTTATTAGAATACCATGTAGCATCTCCACATTATATGTTTAATAATTCATTTCAGTATAGTCTATAACTTTTATTCATCAGTCATATATTCCCAATACCATAAAAAAGAAATAATTTGTTTCTATTTACCACCTAATATTTTGAGGGATGTTTTATTACCTATGAAAATACTAGTTTTCTGATTTATCATTAATATTTCTTTACTAAAAGCATGATTAGAACAGTACTGATGTTTTTGCAGATTATTTTAAACTAATTAAATCCATTAGCAGCAATAGAAAAAAATCCCATTTACTAAAAGAAAGAGAATAAATTAGATCTTATGTAACAGAAAAAGCATTTTACTTTTTGGGAAAATATTTATGTATAAACTTTTGATCCATTTATAAAGCTACTAAGTTTGATTTGCTATAAAAGAGGAAACAAAATATGAACTGAAAATAACATCACAAATGTCAACTACAAATTAAAAATACACTGTATGAGAATGAATAAATATAGCACAGTGGTTTTTAAACAAATATTTTGGATGTTTTAACTTTTATTTCATGTGCATGAGTGTTTTGTGTGCATTTATGTCAGTGTACTCATGTGGTGCAGTGCCCACAGAGGTCAGAAGAGGTGTTGGATTCCCCGGAACTGGAGTTACTGACAGTTGTCAGCCGCCATGTCTGTGCTGGGACCAGAACTCAGGTCCTCTGCAAGAGCAACCAGTGCTATTAACTGCTGAGCCATCTCGCCAGCTCCCTGACACAGTGGTCTTAAAAGAGAACAATTGTTAAATATACATATACATATGCATACATAACAATAATATTCAAAGACAAGGACAAAAAATTGAAAAAGAATGAGAGAACATGGGGAGAGTTAGTGGGGGACAAGGGGCAGAAATAATGCAAAGACAGTATCTGTGTATGAAGTTCTCAAAAATTAAAATAAAATTAAAAAAAGTGTATTTGGCAAAACATAAAAGTGGCTCAGGTAAGAATTAAAAGGTTATATTTATAACTACCCTGGCATGTGCTATAATGTCCTACACTCTCATTTTAGGTTTCTTTGGAATGCTAATGGATGAGCAGGAATGTATGCCTGTGAATATTTGTGTAAGTCAAATAACCTTTTCGATAAATGTGAATGTGACTTACATGAACAGGTATCATTGGAATACTAGTAAATGGAACAAGATGCTAATATTTAATACCTATTCAAGTTTTAGTCTATACTGGTGCTTAAATTATTAGCTTGATTTCTCATGAGAGCATTTATCTTTCCTTGAGAATGAAGTGTTGGGCATTTTCATTTGATTTCATACGTGTTCCTTTGAAACACTTCATCAGATTTAAATTATTCCCATTTTACTGATGGATGCACGAGCCGTCACCTCAACACAATGTACTGTCTCCTTCTCATATGACAGCTTTTAGGGCAAAGCCCTGATCTCCCTTCTTGTGTCCTGATTTTGATGAGTTCAGAACCCAGGGAGCAGCTTCCTCTTCCTCTTGCCTAGAGTCCTCTTAATTTGCTAAGAACTTACTCATTTCCTAGTTTTAATTTTGAATTCTCCTCATCTCTGAAATAGATGCATTGAAATAGATTCCACTAAAACATGTATTATTCCTGCTGCAATCTGTGTTCATAACCATCCTTATAGTTTATCAGTCAATGGTGCGCAAGCACGTTTCCTCCTGCCAGAAGCAATTCATCTTCATGCTGCCCACTCAGAATGTGACCCAGGGTCCAACATAAAAAGGCTGTTCAACATTAAAGGAATTGAATGAGTAACCCCACAGACGAGACAGCAAGTAAGAAATACTGGATATTGTAACTGTGTCACTGAGTGGAACCTGTCCATGGGAGAGAAAGAGTCGGAACTTGAAGCATGAAGTTAATATAAAATGATAAAAGGGATAAAAATGCAGACAAATAGAAAAAGAAATGCCTCAAACCCAACCAGCACATCAATGCGGACCATGACAGCAAATTGGATCAGAAGCACGCCACAGCCAACTGAAAAGAATTTCATTTCTGAATACTCAAGGCTTTCTTGTTTACATAATTTCCTCATATGTCCACATTTAAGACAGAAAGAATGCTAGGAAGGACATTACTAATAAAGGTGTGTGAATGAAAATCAGTGGATACTTGTGATTCTGCTCTTCTCTTCAGAAAGGGTCTTCAGCAGTTTCATGATCGCTCTGCTGAGGGTAACATAAATATTAACAAGGAAACAGTCTACAAGCCCCTCTTCACACCATCTTCTATGCCAAGAGTTTTACAGATGATCTCATTTGACTTATATGAGTCTGACATCATGATCTCCATTTTCAGGGAAAGAAACTGAAGGCTGGAATGTCTGAGTGACTGTGGAGGCTGCAAAATTAGTGGGGAGCTTTGGTCTCAGGATGTTAGGGAGCTCGCCTAAAATTCTCCCATAATGCTCTACGCCTTCCTCCTCTGGTGTTTGGAAACACCGTTACTCACCTACTATTTCATATTAAAATTATTCTCATCTTAAGAAACTTTAAGCTATTTCACATTTGCTAAACTGTAGCTTGAGAATTCCTTTGACATGAAGTTGGAGGATTTGGCTGTATTCTTTGGGCATCTGGTGGAAGCCACGTTTAGGCAACATGTTGTCATAGTAGTGATGACTGACTGGTATTTGGTCAACAGTTTTAGAGAAGGGCCAGAATCCATAGAGCTTCACGTTTTCGCACAATTCCACCGCGATGCTTGTGATCATCAGACCTGTGGATAAGCGGTAAGCGGTCACCCCTTTAGTTCTCCAGAAAAGGGCGAGATGTCTCAGGTACTTGGGATGGAAAAAGAGAACCTTTTGCCTCACTTTAGATTGTCTGAGCGTGTAGTACACTTTAAAAGAGATGCCGGTGTTGGCTCTGAAGGAAAACGCGGGCAGGAGGAGGAAGGCATCTCCGTAGGCGGAAATGTCCTCCAGAAATACTGCTTTCTTCTCCTTTAAGTTCCCATATCTGTCGATTTAAAAAAAAAAAAATCACAATCACAATGGTTATAACAATGTTCAAAGTAGTGATTTTAGTAATGTGATGTTGAGTCTGTCACTGGTCAAAGGAAAAGGAACCATTCATATCCATTATATGGAAACATCAAGTAGCAAGTAAAAATTCAAGAGTTCAGCTACAAAGACTTCAACCTCTTAACCTCCTATACAGGCCTTTCTCCTCTTATTTTATATTACAGTTCAACAATATTTTCTAATGTTGCTTTTGATTTTAATACCTTTAAATGTATTTATAACCAAATTGCATAGCATAGATGTCTAAATATATTTTTAAAATTTTACGTAAAATTATAATTATCTACTAAATATATTTAGCCACAAAATAGAAGTTTCTTTTCAAAAAGCATTTCTATTTAAAAATATATATGTATGTACTCTGCTAAAATTTCTTCCACGCATTGTGCTGTCATTGTATTATGAACCTTAGGAAGCATTCCTTTAAGCATAATCGTGTTTTGAAATCAGCTTTTACAAGGGAGGTATAATACTTTGTTTTCACTCAAGTAATTATTTGGAGGGTTATATTCTAGTAACAACGACCTTTTCTCTCTTTGGAAGTATATA